GATGGGAAGAATTGCAATCAAAACCCATATAAGCAGTGGCTTTACTGGAGAACACAGAGCAGCCCCAGGTCCCTGCACTGCATGACTCACATCCCGTCTGCACCAAGCAAACGGGAACTTCCCATGATCTTGTTTCAGATTGGGTTTGGGGTATTACACTTCATTTCTTCTCCATTACCCTGCGTAACTGACATTGCACATAGGAATGCTACACACACACACACACACACACACACACACACACACACAAAACAATGTTTTCTAAAAACCAGAAATGTGAAATGACTCTGTATGAAGGCGTTTGTCCTACAAGCCTAGAAACCTGAGGGAGATTCCAAATCTAGGGGCGAAAGTCATAACTGGTCAATATTGCTAGGATAACATGATAAAGGATGGCGTAAATTTGGCGTAGACATAGATTATCCTACAGCCATTAATTTTGTAGCCAAACATGGTGGCACATGGTTTTAATCCAAGCACCTAGGAAGCAAAGACAGGTAGATAGATCTTGAGTTTAAAGACTGGTCTGGTCTACATCATAGAGCTTCAGGCCAGCTAGGACTAAACAGTAAAACACTGTCTCAAAAACAATTTTTTTGAAAAAATATTCATTGAGGGCTGGCAAGATGGTTCTGTGAGTGGTTAAAGGCCTTTGCTGCCTACCCTGATAGTTTGAATTTGATCCCTGGGATCCACCTGGTGGAAGGATAGAAGTAATTCCTGCAAGTTGTCTAATCTCCATATGTAGGCAATGGCATACTCTGAACACATACACATATATGCAAGATAAACAAATGTAATATATAAATATAGATAAATGTAAAATACAAAAAAATTTTAAAAACTGTTGATACAAAAAAGTCTTTACAAGGTGAAGCTGTTATAAAAACTTGCAGGGACTAGAGAAATGGCTCATCAGTTAAGAGCACTGTCTGCTCTTCCAGAGGTCCTGAGTTCGATTCCCAACAACCACGTGGTGGCTCACAGCCATCTATACTGGGATCTAATGCTTTCTTCTGGCATGTAGGTGTGTATATGCAGATAGAACTCATATATGTAAAATAAATGTATCTTTTTTAAAAAAGTTCCTTTTTAAAAATAAGGAAAACATGAAATTTGCAGGCAAATGGATGGAACTAGAAAAAATCATACTGAAAAGAGGATCCTGGCAGTCCTGACAGGACCTGATAGGCTAGGGTCAGACAGTAGGGGAGGAGGACTTCCTCCATCAGTGGGCTAGGGAAGAGGGATATGGAGGAAGAGAGAGGGAGGGTGGAACCAGGAGGAGATGAGGGAGGGGTTACAACTGGGATACAAAATGAATAAATTGTAAATAATAATAAAGAGATCATCCTGAGTGACACAGCACAAACCCAGAAAGACACACATGGTATATACTTGTTTATAAGGGGATTTTAGTCAGATAGTATAACACACATACCCCAAGAAGATAATCCTGATGGGCATCTTAAGTTTCATGTGCACCCACTAACTAACAGAGTAGGGGATATTTCTTTTTGATCACTTCCCTATCAGGCCACAGGGGAGGAAGACAAACTCAGTCCTCATGTGAATAGATGAAATGTGGTATCTGGATAGAGGGGTTTCCCTATTCCTCAATAGGGAAGAGGGGATAGGGAGGGAGGGTGGGACTGGGAGGAGAGGAGAGAGGACCCTATGACTCCGATGTAAATTGAATTAATAAAAAAGTATGCATAGTCTATCATTTGTGAGAAAAAATGTATAAACATGCATAGAAACTAGCAGAAACAGCTTTTATTTTCTTTGTGCTTTTTGGTGTTTTCCAAAAGTTCTGCATCAGACATGTGTCAGTTTTGCAAATAGGAAAAAACCACAAGGGCTGCTGGTTAACGAGCAGAGTGGAAACGAACGAGCTGCAGCCCGGGGGGGGGGGGTATTTCATCTGCAAGAGGGAGGTCTGAATTTTCAGAGCTCATTTTCTCCCCTGCCAGCTTCTTGCTATTAGATGTTTTGGCAGCCATTAAGAAAACAAACAACCAATGCTGGTGAATATGTGGACAAAAAGGGAGCTCTTATCCTCTGCTGGAATATAAGTTAAGTGCACTGTGGAAATCAATATGGAGATTCCCCACAAACTAAAGTCACCTGCTGCATGACCCAGCCATGCCACTCCCAAGCATTGCCCAAGAAATCCAAGTCAACAAATCACAGGGGAAAGTGCATTTCACTCCAGCATGGTGGCAACTGCTAAGTTAGGGAACCAGCCTATGTGTAAACAGAGACGTAAATAAGGAAAATGAGGACCTGCCCTGGAACCTCCAGCACCCACACAAAAAGCTGGACAGACATGAGTGTCTGCAACCCCAACACGGGAGGCAGAGACATGCAGATCCGCTGACAGCTTACAGGCTGGTCAACATCCCAGCCAAAGCCGTGAGCTTCCGGTTCAGTGAGAGCCCATCATGAAGCAAAAAGGTGGAGAGCGAAACAGAACACACACCAAGTCTTATTACTCTACACGCACGCAATGTGCATGCGCCCACGAGGACACACCGCGCACACACACAACACACACAAGTAAGATTAAATTTAAAGAATGAGGCTGCGTCGTTTACAGGAGAACCGATGCAAGACTGTCACACGACAAACTAAATCTCAAAAAAAAAAAAAAAAACCTAAAAAACCACCCGGATTTCACAATTTCACATTTTCTCTAATTTACAGATGACATGAGAGGCCATCTAGAACAGCAATTCTCAACCTGTGGGTCCCGACCCCTTTGGTGGTGTGTGGGGGGGTCTTTCACAACTGTAGCGAAGTTACAGTTATGAAATAGCAGCATAAACAGTTTTAGAGTTGTGGGTCCCCACAACAGGAGGAACTGTGTTAAAGGACTGCAGCATGAGGAAGGCTGGGAAGCACTTATCTATTAATGGGAGGGAACAATAGTCATGGGGGAACGTGCTCAAAGTATATTGCATGCTTGCATGAAGATGACCTTCAGCAACTCATATAACATAAAAGATTCTTAGAAAAACAAAAAGATTCTCCAGTCCTCTGGGTGCCTAACAAAAATACCACTTGGCGGTATTCTTAGGCATTTAGGTTAACATAAGGAGGAAGGCCTAAGGATGTGGCTCAGAGGCACAGAGCACAAGCACAAGGCCCTGGTGGATACCCAGCACTGGGAGGAGATACACGGAGGGAGGAAGGGAGGAAGGATGGACCATTTTCTGTGTAAAACAAATTATACTCACAAACGTGTATTTCTTTCAGTCTTTGAGGGCCTGTGAAGTGCCAGTTGCAGATCTACAACTTTTTGTGACAGCTCTAAGAAGATGCTTTAGTCTATCTATGTGGTGCTATCATTTTAATTTGTCCCCCAAATCACAACCTGATGACAGCGTGTGGGTAGAGCCTTTGGGCTATAGTGGGGATCGGGAGGGTTGGGAGGGTGCCCCCCCCCCAACAGGATTAGTGGCTTTACAGGAAGAGGAAGAGTCCTGAGTTCATTTGCTTGCTCTTTCCCTGCCCTGTCATGATACAGCAAGAAGGTCCTTGCCAGAGGTCAGCACCTCAATACTCAAGTACCAAGACTCCACCACTGTAAAAAGTGACCCCCGATTCTTATAAAGTAGCATTCTCTAACAGAGGCGAAAGCTGGGACCACAACATGGCGTCTGGGTACAGTTACTCCGGGAACCACACTAAACATTTCAAGGCTAAGTTCTTGGGGTCATAAATGACCACTGAAGGGCATGAAATGTTTTTGCAGGACTGAAAGAATCCATTCCATTTAACCCCAGGGTTTAGGAGTAAACGCCTAGGATGACTGAGCTAAATCACCTCACAAGTCTGCCCATTACTTTAAAAGCAAGGGTAATCACACAAAGTTCATACATACTAATAAACAGTCAGGAAGAAATAATGCTAGACAAAGGGGAAAACCAATAAACTTGAGCAGAATAAAAACCGAGTAACAGAAGAAACATCCGCCAACATATTACATACGTAATGCAACAGAGGAGCAGACAAATTAAAGGTGTTCTTGTCATGGAGATTATATTGAAAATAAGGTCAGCAACCCTTTTTGCAGTTCAGCATATTTGAATAGACGCTTTGTGGCCTCGGGATGTAGCTCAGTAGATAGAATACATATTTGTCTGTCACACATGAAGACCTGGGTTTGCTCCCTAGCATGAACTGGGTATGGTGATGGATATGATCATCTGGCACTTGAGAGGTGGAGGCAGGAGTATTAGAACTTCAACGCTGTAAATTCAAGGCCAGCCTGGGCTACGAGATTATGTCTTTAAAAAAATGAAAAGTATTTCCTTTCCCATCCAGTTAATCCCATCCCATTAATGACTACAACCCTCATGCAGGAATCAAATGGCACTAGAAGGCCTAGGTACCACCCTTTATGGTTAGTCACACCGCACTCAAGGACTAACGCGTTAACCCTGGGGCGCGTGGACCCAGCAGTTCTCACGCTGACGCGTCTGCTGCCGCAGGAAGGCTGGGGCAGTTATTGCCGGGACCTGACACTTCTCAGATCTTCATCTTCTTAACACGGTAAGAAAGCCAGGTGCCAACATACAGACCCCAGAATGTCACTCGGAGCTCTTGCACTGGCACCTGCCTGGCAGCGCTCACAGAAGGCAGACAGTGACCACCCAGTGTCAGCTCTAACTTCAGTGAGTTGGAGCAGTCACACCTGGCCTTTCATAGGTGCGGTGTCACTCTCCAAGCAAAAAAAGACCAAGTTCACATTTCAGAGACCAGAAGTATTCCTGTGCCTCATGGTTCCACAGGCTGGTGATCTTCAGCTCCCAGGGTACCACGCAACACAGCCCTGAAAGCTGCAGCATCTCAGGTGGGCTGACATACAGGACACAGCAGCCCAAACAGTGTGAGCCTTGTCTGTTCCCACCATGAATTAAGTGCTTGAAAGAATCACAAAGTTGAAGACAGCTCCATTCAATGACAAAGGTTTTCTTAATAACAGGTCAATAAAATGTGAATAAGTTATATTTTTTATTTTTCACAAATAAAAATGACAAGTGACATGTAAAGGACATGACAGTAATGAAACAGCAATAGGCTAGCTGTCTCACAGAGACAGACGCCCACGAAGACTAGAATACTGATTTGTAAGAAAGACTATTAAATTAATCTAGAAATAATGTATTCTTAACTAAATTGACAAGTCAAAATTGAGCACGTCAAAACATCATCTTGTACCCATAAAGTGGTGCTAAAGGAAAAGGAAAGTCTTGAAGTCCACACTGGGCTCTCTACCGAAATCAAGGCTCAAATCCTAAAACAGAAAAGGAAAAGAGAGTTAGGAAATGTTCCCTGGAGTTTCACAGACAAGTTTCTGTTTCCTTCCCCTCTCAGCTGGGCTGCAGTGCAGGGCCTCATGCACGCTAGGCAGTGCTCTACCCGAGGTAGCTGCTGCTCACAACAGATGCCTGAGCATCTCATCAAAAGAGGGTTACGAGGGACATGAGTGGCTCAGTGGGCAAAGGTGTTGGAAACAAGATTGCTGATGAGTTAATCTCCAGAATGCATATGGTGGAAGGTGAGAACAGACTTCCCCAGGTATGGCTGGTGAGCACATGCATTCACATGTGCGTAGACTATTGGAAAATAAAGTAAGTTCACACTTATAAAGGACTGTTTAAAGATTTATTTTATTTTTAATTATGTGCTTAAGTATGGGGTGGGGAGGGGACAGAGTGCCCAAGCTGCTCTAGGAGTGCAGAAGAGGGTGCTGCAGACCCTGGAGCTGGAAACACAGGCAGCTGGGAACCAGAACTGGATCCTGGGAAGTTAACTCAAGCCCTTCAGGAGAGCACACAGCTCTGTAGGAAAGGATGGCGGAACCAAGCACAGCGGTTTATGCCTGTTTTTCCAGCCCGCAGCTTGGCTCATTCAGTGAGGGAACATGCAGTAAAAATCTGGAAACTCTTTGGACAATCAGTTTTGCATTTGGCAGGGATGGTCACTATTCAATCCTATACCAATAAGATAAGAGTCTGTAACTTCAATGTGAGGAAAACATATAATTTACATTCTATTTATACACCACAACACACAAAACAGTGTCTCTTTCCTCCCTGACCTATGGAACAAGTTTCTGAGACGGAGTTCTATGATGGTGGGCTGGGCTTCTAACCTGCCTTTCTTTAGCCTGGCAGCGAAGTTCAAGGGTTGAAGGTGGGCTTTGATATTAAAAAATACTACACATGCTATCTACATGCTTTACAATATAGAGAATGAATGTACCAGGAAACAGCTTTCCTGACATACCCATGTTCTTCGAGAAAAACTGGACAGCACTGGAAAATTATTAACTAGACTAACACAGTAAATGGACTAAGTCTTTCTTATTAAAAACTGAAACCAGTTAGTAACCTTATAGGTAGACCCAATCTTTAGTTTAGATTACATACTCAAGGCACTGAGAGTTTGGATGTTCCAGCATTTAGATTTAGGGAAGAAGAAAAGTAAGGTTAAAAATTCTATTAATACCAGGTATGCAGGGACATGCCTACAGTCTTAGCAAACAGGTAGGGGCAGACAGGGAGACTTGGAGTTTGAGGCCATACTGAGCAGCACAGCAAGTTCCTGGCCACTCTAACCTATCCACAGTTACTATCTAAAAAACCAAGAAACAGGACAGGATGGAGTTCAGCTGTGGAGTACTTTTGTGGCATGTGCTAGGCCCTCTGTTCAACCCCAGCACTGAAAAAAATAAAAAAAGAAAAAGAAGAAACGAGGCCATCAACATTCAGTCATGGATGGGAGAAAGAGCCTCTCCCAGGCGAGTTGGTGGCAATGGATGGCTGGGGAGAATGGAGCCTCATCCCAGTGGTTAGTGCCTCATCCAGTCTGATGGAGGCGAATCAGAGGGGATATGAAATGGCTAAGAAAGGGAGGAGATGGGGGTGTGACCAGACCAGACCATGCCAGATACATGCGTGAAATTGTTAAAAATACATTAAAAAAGGGGAGGGGGGCAAACCTTCTCAAAACCAAATCAAGAATCAAACAAAAGACTATCTTGGCCAGAAAAATGGACAACAGGAAGCACTTCACACAGAAGCACAGAGCACCCCTCACCATATTTTCATGGCTTTTGTTTGTTTCTTTCCTGGTGAAAACCATATTCACTGGAAACAAGAGCTCTGTCTAGGAAACTGCAAGAGCTTGAGCAGCATGAGAATGTTGTCAGTGGACTGGGAACACTCACACACAGGTGAACCTGAATTTTCTGATAAAGGAAAGAGCTGTAGAGCACTAACTGAATTCTCAAATCCTCCTGTGGTTCCTCCAGTCTCCTAAGTCCCTAAGAAACACAGAAACTTTTGGTTTTGTTGTTCTCCTTGTGGTGCTCCTGTCCTCTCCAGGTCTTTCTATCTCTCCCTTCTTTCCTAAGATTCCCTCACTCTGCTCAAAATTTGGCTATGAGTCTCAGTCAGGATCTGCTTTAATACCGGTACTGGGTAGGGTCTTTCCGAGGCCCTCTGTGGTAGGCTCCTGTCCTATTCCCTGTTTCTCCCTCTTCCAATGTCCGTCCCCTTTGCCTTTCTGAATGAGGATTGAGCATCTTACCCAGGGTCCTCCTTCTTGATTAGGTGTACAGATTTCTTTAGGTGTACAAACTTCAGTCTGATTATCCTATAGTATATGTCTAATATCCACTTATAAGTGAGTATATACCATGCATGTCTTTCTGCTTCTGGGATACCTCACTCAGGATGATCTTTTCTAGTTCAGACCATTTGCCTGCAAATTTCATGATTTCCTTGTTTTTAATTGCGGAGTAGTATTCCATTGTGTAGATGTACCACAATTTCTTTATCCATTCCTCTGTTGAGGAATATCTGGGTTGTTTCCAGATTCTGGCTATTACAAATAAAGCTGCTACAAACATAGTTGAGCAAATGTCCTTGTTGTATACTTGAGCATATTTTGGTTATATGCCTAGGAGTGGTATAGCTGGATCTTGAGGTAGCACTATTCCTAATTTTCTGAGAAAGCACCAGATTGATTTCCAAAGTGGTTGTACAAATTTACATCCCCACCAGCAATGGAGGAGGGTTCCCTTTTCTCCACATCCTCTCCAGTATGTGTTGTCACTTGAGGTTTTGATATTAGCCATTCTGAATCTGGGGCTAGGGGTCTTTTCTGAGACTGATACTCCAACTAAGGACCATACATAGAAATAACCTAGAACCCCTACACAGATGTAGCCCATGTCAGCTCAGTCTCCAAGTGGGTTCTTTAGTAAGGGAAACAGGGACTGTCTCTGATATGAACTCAGTAGCTGGCTGTTTGATCACCTCCCCCTGAGGGGAGGGCAGCCTTACCAGGCCACAGAGGAAGACTATGCAGACAGTCCTGATGAAACCTGAGAGGCTAGGGTCAGATGGAAGGGGAGGAGAACTGTGGGAGGGGCATGGGAGAAGAGGGAAGGAGTGTGGGATTGGGAGGGGACAAGGAAGGGGGCTACAGCTTGGATACAAAGTGAATAAATTGTAATAAATAAATAAATAATTGAAGTGGAAAAAAAAGAAACACAGAATTAAGGGGATATATATATATATATATATATATATATATATATATACACACACATATATAGCACTTACTGTTCTTTTTGAAACATTTATGGATATAACTGTGTTTTTCTAAATGTTTCATTAGTAATGCTGAGTCTTGTTAGTCTGGTTCCATAATAGTCTATAATGTAACTACTTCCATCTGAAGGGCCAACAATCTAGGAAAGATCAAAATTGAAAGTTATTCTTCTTACGAAAAATATATGAATTTACGTAAGCAATAAAACTGTTTCAGAACTCCCCCCCCCCAAAAAAAAAAAAAACCGAAGTCAAAAAAAAAAAAAAGCAGGTGATGAAGTGGAAACAGACAGGGAGAAGCTCACAAGCTTAAAAAAAGAAAAAAAAAAAAACAGTGAAAGAAGTGGGTTCCAGTTCAACTTGCTTGCCCCTTGCTCTGGCTTGCCCACTTTGTTCTTGTTTTCCCTGCAGGCGGCAAAGCCGGAATCATGTATTCCCACCTCAGCCTTCTCCAATATACTTCTCTCCCCGACTGTATACACCCCAGTCCAGGGAAGGACTTTCACTGATCTGTTTGTGGCTTATGATGATGGCTGGATACTTACTACTCCCAAGGAAATAAAGTCTAGTGTGACTGTCCAGGCCAGACTCCTGGAAGGAGACGGCAGTGTAACTGACCGCAACTACCCAGGATGCAAAAAGGAGAGGTTGAGAGAACATACACACGTTGAGGCTGGAGAGATGGCTCAGCAGTTAAGAACCCTGGCTCTTGCAGAAGCCCCAGGCTTGGCTCCCAACACCCTTATAGCAGCTCACAACCATCTCTCACTCCACTACCAAGGAATCTTATGCCCTCTTCTGGCCACGGGCACTGCAAGCACATGGCGCACAGACACACAGGAAGGTAAAATAATCATACACATAAAATTATAGATTTAAAAGTTATTTAAAAAATACACACATCCACTACATCATCTGTCTCCTGTTAACCACATCTGTATAGTTAACAAGATCTCTACAAATTATCATTTAAACCAGAAACCTCCAGGCCAGTGAGAAGGATCAGCAAGCATAAAGAAAAGCTTTCCAACAAGCCTGAAGACCTCAGTTTGATCTCTGGAGAAGGAGAAAAACAACTTCAGAAACTTGTCCTCTGACCTTTATATGTGGGCCATGGCATATCCCTCCATACACATAATAATAATTATGGTAACAGTAGTAACAACAACTATAATAAAACTGTACCCTTACCAGTACAGTTTTACTAAGTTGCATGTGGGCCTAGGAAGGTTTAAAGGTATTAATATCCTGTAAACAAATCTGCCTGACAGCAGGCTTCAGTAGCCATGTTACACTATTGTTCTGTCCTGTGTCTCCTCTCAACGTGGTCATTTCTCCAAGCAGTAGCAGAAACGCTATCATCAAAGCCTACCCCAAACCTTCCAATAGCAACTGCCCCTGAGTATAAACACCTCTGTGGGTTGTGGGTTCCTTCAAGGTTGGTGGGCCAATCTGCCACTATCTCCTACAGAACTCTAGCTTGGGCCTCAACTGCAGCTGCAAAATACCTTGCCTCGGATAACCTTGGTCCATGGGAGTTTATCTCTAAAATGCCAAGGAGCAGCTGCCTTGGTTGCCAATGCTGAAAACTACTGACAGAAGCTGGCGAGGCTGGGATGCCCTGATGTTGCCATGCTGGCTGCTTACACCAGTAATCCCTACAGTTCCAAGGGGACATGTAAAACGGCCTTACTCGTAGTAAGCAGGTGTCCAGGCACTGCCACAGCCCTAGTGCATCAGGACAGGCACGGTGGCAATGAGGCTGTGTGGCAAAGCTTCACGCACTTTCAAGTCTCAAGACAGCGAGAGTGCTATCACTCGTTTTACAGATGAAGAAAGGGGAGCCTGCATTCCCACACCATGGGAATAGCTCTCACCAAGGAGCTGCACATGCAACTAATACAATCTCTTGATATCCGACTGTGATAATAAAGAGATGGGCTGCCGAGGAACCTCACACAATGCAATGCTCCACGGTAACTCCACTGAAGGCAGCTTCCCTAGGTTTCGGTCAGTATGTTTGGTTGGCTGTTGTTTCTAAAGTCTTTAAAGGGGTATTATATTTTAAGGACATTTCTGATAGCTTATTAAGAGTCCACTGGTTCTGGGGGGTAGTGGGTAAGTTTTCATGTGAGAAGAAATCCAACAGCCTGGCAAAATGCTTTGGCCCCATGGTGTGCTGGGCTAGGATCATTCCAAAGGCCCAGTCGGCATGTCTACCAATCGAGGTCGTGTTAGCCTGCATGCCAGTTACAAATATCTCATTTTCTAGAACCTTTACAAAAAAGCATTTCATATCTTAAGTAAAACCAAAATTATTATAGTTTCTAAAGAGTTTATTTTTTTCTTTATAAAATAGATGACATTTAAAATTCGTGGTATTTATAGTCTGTTAGATACATTTAAAAATTGATCTAACAGTTTTACTTAAACATGTCAATATTTAAAATTACATCCCATGCAACTATTTAAATTTATGATGGAAAACTTAAATGTCAATTTAAAAATATACAGAGGGTACAGACTTAAAAATATTCTTCTAAGGGTTATACAACTAGAGTGAAGAAAGCTGTCACGAGCACTTCTCATTTAAAAGTGATTTCAATGCTGGGAGTTGTGATGTAAAACTGTAATCCTAATGCTTGAGCGATGGAGACGCCACAGTTCAAGGCCAGCCTGAGCTACATAGCAAAACGGTCTTACAAACAGGACTGAAGAGATGACTCAGCAGTTAAGAGCTATTGTTGCTCATACAGAGGACTTGACTCTGGCTCCTTGTACCCACATGGTGGTCCACTACCCTCTTCTGACATTGGAGAGCACCAGGAACACATGTGGTACATGTGCTGGGAAAACACTCATACATACAAAATGAATAAATCTAAATGATAAAAGCAAAAGGGACGTCAGTTCAAAAAGATATAGTTCATTCAGCCTCAAAACTAAAAAGGCAGCATACAATAGTATTCAGGTGTAGTCCCAGACACCTGGGGGCAAGAAAGCACAAGGATTGAACCTGAGGCCAGCCTGGGCTACATAATGAGAACTCATCTCATAAAAGCAAAAACTCAACAAATACTTACCTACACTATTCCAGGAAGATGGCAAACCATCTGCATGTAACAGTGACTAAGACCCCCAACCCTGCCAACAGGGAGACTCCTCTATTGGATTCAACTAATACTTAAACAGCCAGCCACTATGTAAGTCAGCTGCTGCTATGCATGTTGACCTAATTCCTAAAGATTAAACTAAGTTGTCTGACATTTATGGATGCGATGTATAAATTTAAGTAAAAATTAATGCATCTGTGACATTTTTTTGTGGCTAGGGTCATGAGGAATTACTAGGAACATTAAGCTATGAGAAGAATGGGTAATTAGAAGATGACATATTCTAAGACTTTATTAAGAAAACACAAAAAGTGAAACTCAGCTAGTGGAAAGGGGCCAAAGAACACTGTAAAAACATCTCCTCTTGGAATATGTGATCAGACTGGAACTGAGCCTTTTGTTCTATTATTTTTTTCTTCCTGTACTATTTTTCCTGATAATTGCATTTACCCATTGAAGAAAAATATACAAAAGTTAGAAATAAGGTGATAGATGATTGGGTGACTTTTTAATATCATGCATTTCTAATAAGGCCATGTGCAGCTCGTTTCAAGCCCAGATATTTTAGAAAATGATGTAAGCCACTAACTTGTCCCCCTTCCCTTTCCTGTACTGGAGACGACACTCACAACAGTTTACATGCATGTGGTTCAATGTTGCGCATAACTTAGCCATCACATTACCGCATTTATTTTCCCTTAAGCTATTAATGTTAGCTCTTCAAAGTTCCTTATCATACAAGTAGGTGAGCAAGAGGACCAACAGGCTCTATGGAGCACTTTTGGGTCAATGAGATGTCTCAGTGGATAAAGGTTTTTGCTGCCTAGCCAGCCTGAGTTCAATCCTCGGACATCACAGTGGGAGGAGATCCAACTACACAGAGTTGTCCTCTGAGCTTTACATGTATGCCATGATAAACACACACACACACTTGTAAAAAAAATGAACTAAGAGATTTAAGTAAGAACTTTCTCCAATACATATTAATGTCTCCTAAGTACAAAACCCTAGATCCACAAAACTCCTAATTTTCTAAAGCTACTATCACAAATGACTACAAATTTTGTAGCATAGCAGGCATTTATAGTTCTGGAAGACTGAAGCTGCAAGCCTCTGGAGTCAACTAGCATTCTCTGCCAATTATCACACTGGATAGTGCACACAGTAAACCAAGATGGCCTTCTGTATCAAGATCTTGAATTTGCCTGGCTTAGAAATAACACTCACAGGTTCCTCTGGCCTGGCCTGGCCATGGAGATGGAGCTGCACTAAAGAGAGCTTCTTGTTCTCTATCCGTGATGCCCTTGGCCTAATTCTTGACAACACCCCTGCCCCCATATACACTCATACCCAACCCTCACCCACCCTCCCATTCACAGGTATGCACCTACCCACACAATAGGCATGCACTGAGCCACGTGAATTGGATCTGTAGTTATTGTTAGAAATGTGAAATTCTTTTTAATAAATATCTACTTTAAATGTATCCAACGGTGGGCTTTAGAGATGACTCGGCAGTTATAAGCAGTGGCTGCTCTTCCAGAGGATCTAGGTTCAGTTTCTAGTACCCACACGGTGGCTTACAACTATCTGTAACGTCACTTCTGGAGGAATCAACGCCCTCTCCCGGCCTCTGTCAGCACAGGAATGCATCTGGTCCACAGACGTGCACGCAAGTAAAACACTCATATACATGAAATGAAAGTAAACATTTAAAAAACACTGCTTAAGTCGGGCAGTGGTGGCACATGCCTTTAAACCCAGCACTCGGGGAGGCAGAGACAGGCGGATCTCTGTGAGTTCCAGGCTGGCTTGGTCTACAGAGTGAGTCTACATAGAGAATTCCTGTCTTGAAAAAACAAAACAAAAATCATGCTTAAAATTTATTCTAACAGTATTGTGCTACAAAGCTTCACAACTGAAAACTCTTTTCTCTTCTTTACATATTTTTACATATTTGTGTCCAGTGGGGATTTAATCAGGGACTCCTGCACTCTCACTGGCTTTCTACTCAGCAGCCTCTCCAG